TGATTACTATCAATTTATATGACTTTTTTTGTGTTCCCAGGTTCAATAAAATAATGTTTGCCTACCTTTATGTCAAAGGGCAAAGTTCGTAGTCAGCTGAAATGTTATTTTTTAAATAAAAAAAGGAATTATGGTTTAAAGAAGAGTTAGACCCCTTGTTTTGATGGTGTAGCCTGCAGTAAATAGAAACCTGCTTATTGTCCCTGGTATTAGCGTTATGTTGGCCTATATAAGGCACGAAACATCAACGAACAGTTCTTTTTCTTTAGCTCGCACTGCTGCATGGACAAGAAGGCACACATAACTTAAGGAAAATGGTTACGACAAGACATTGCCAGATTCAAAGTTACATCCACGGACTATTTGGAGTCTACATAACCCTAAAGTCTGTTAAACTCTTTTTCATTTCTTTTGATTCTCACTGTTTTATTAATACCTATAAACCATCTAAGATTGTTCTGTTTTTTTTTTCACTTTCAGTTCACTAATACCCAATTCAAGGGAACTAACTTCATTGTCAATTAACTGCATTAAATCCACACCACTACCAAGATAAGGAGATTGCATCTAGAATAGGCTGTGCGAAGTATAATTTTGTCTGAAACGGGAAGATGTTGCACCCCCCTCCGAAAAAACATTAACCTAAGAATTCACGTTATAGACCTAAATATCTTCGTTGTATCTTGAAACTCATGGATGTCTTGTATGGCACCCAACTTGTTCAGAAATTGTCAGCTGTATACAGTTGCTTTTTCTCAGATCAATTGTAAAGGCCGGATTGTAGATGGACCAATACTATTTATATTAACGATATTTTCAACGTACAAGATTCAAGTAAACAACAATAACTCCAAATTGTTAATCAACAAATATATATTAAAATAACATACAAGAACAAACATGCAATAAAATTGTTTTTAATGTATAGATTAAGGAAAAGAAGTTGTTCCCCTTTAACAGTAGAATGATTTCTAATTGACTGTTCGAAGAAAGTTCTCTCGAGAGAAAAATGTTCAGAAATCAATATTAGAGGAAGTATACATGTTAAGAATAAATAACACAAGCATACAATTAATTAAAAATATGTTGGGTTATAGAATGGTTTGAATCAACAGATTTCTGGTTGATTGAACTTAGCAAAGTCACAGAGAGAAATTTAAGTTTATATTACGAAATTCTTTGTTTGTGTGTGCGTTTGAAATGTGATGAGTAAGATCGTGGATTTGTGCTGACGGCTGGGATCTTACTGACGACTTGTAAAAAGTCGCCCCTTTTAAGAAAAAAGGGTAGGCTCCCACGGAAACGCGGGAAAACCTAATCTTGCACTAAAATATGTGATTGGTTAAAAATTAACCAATCACTACACTTGTACTAAAGGGACAAGCAAGCAAGCTCAAAACTGAAGGATCCAAAGAAACAACAAAGAAACAATTGCGATGGTTAAATTGTCCTATATAAAGGTTTTAGTGATTTATTAGCCAATCGCAGGCGAATAAAATGTGGGCGTGGAAAACATAGCAACTGCTATACAATGCTTAATGGTTTCCAGCGAATGAACACTGTATATCTTAGAAAGTACAATACTTCATCGAATCTCGTGGATTGATGCTACAGATAACAGTACCAAATAACAGAAACCAAATCACTTGAAGACTTCCAACAGCAAAAACAACTAAAATGGATAGCATATGTAACACAAAGGGAAAAAGATTGACATAATCAAGATGTTGACTTTCCACGCTACTTGAAACAAGCGATTAGGAAGAAAGTCTGTGGTGAATAGTCAGATATTCTTGGAATTTATTTATCAGAAACTTTGGAATTAAAATGAATTGACTAAAGGATACAAAATAAATAATATATTTTTATTTATTTGATTTAGAGTGAGTCCTTTGATATTCGGTGTGTGTAGCAAAATATTCATTTATAAGGCGGATCTTGATAACAGTTGGGAGAAAGTCCGTTTCATTCGACAATTTATTAAACATAACTTCGTAGTAGTAGTCATCTTAGTAATGTCGGCGTCAATCTACTGTGTTTTTTTTTTGTTTTTTTTTTTTATCGGCCCTAAGAAGTGCAGAAAATATTGTTAGCAGAGGATTTCTTCACGCATGGCTGGTTTCTCGGGCAATCGCGTCTCTTGTTCCGTGGTTTCTCTTACTGTTCCTTCTCCTCTTCTGGCCAAGAGCTGTGAACTCTTCTTTTTGATTAGTCTCCCAGCCTATTGCCTTGACCCTTGGTTTCAGTTAACATCAAACAAAAGTCTCTGTGTTAATTTTTTTCATTGGTTAAGATTATTTTATTTCCTAGGGTTCCTTTCTTTTTCATTTGTGCCCCTAAAAAAATAAAAATAACACCTTTTTAAGCCAAATTTCATTTACATTCTTCTGACCAAACATTTATAACATAAAAGAAATAAATAAAAACGTCTAGAGAGAAGTCCGAAGAATGTAAAATTGTAAATATTTATTTTCTAGAAAGAGTGCATAATGACAAAGTGTAGAAATGTGTTACATGCCTTCTCCTCGACCCTGGAAATGTCAGCTAGCTTTAACAAATGCAGGACATGTTTTTGTACCGCATTTTTAAAATCGATTATTATTCTTTTTAAAAATTACATGTAAATTTGACTTTTTAAAAAGATGTATCTTATAAATATTTAACAGTTCTGCTCCACTCTAAAATTCTAACTAAACTGTTATTTTACATTTTTACCATATAAACTTTTTGAAAGAAAATCTGTTACATAAGAATTTCTATCGCTCAAAAATATCAAATTGATGTAATTCAGGTTTGTGAGTTCGTAGTGACCTGGTTAGGAACCTGTGCCTGAAGGATTCTGCAGGCCCCATGTTTCTTTCTACTTCCTCCGCTTACATTCATCATACCCCTTATTCAGTAACCCTCTACCTTGAGTGGCTTCTACTGGGGGAATTAATAACAAATAAGTAACCTCGACAAAGTCACCTTTGTACAATCATGGCTGTCTGTAATGGGTTTCAATTGCGGGATTCAATTATGACAGTACTACGATTTATATTGACGATATTTCCAACGTATAACGTTCAAGTAAACAATAACTCCAAATTATTAATCAACAAATATATATTGAAATAACATACAAGAACAAACATGCAATAAAATTGTTTTCAATGTATAGATTAAGGGAAATAAGTTGTTCCCCTTTAACTGTAGAATGATTTGTAATTGATTGTTCGAAGAAAGTTCTCTTGAAAGGAAAATGTTCAGAAATCAATATTAGAGCAAAGTATGCATGTTAAGAATAAATAACACAAGAATACAATTAATTAAAAATATGTTGTGTTATAGAATGGTTTGAATCAACAGAGTTCTGTTGATTGTACTTGGCAAAAGTCACAGAGAGAAATGTAAGTTTATATTACGAAATACTGTGTCTTTGAGTGCGTTGAGCAAGATCGTGGGTTTGTGTTGACGGCTGGAATCTTACTGACGACTTGTGAAAAGTCGCCCCTTTAAAAAAAAAAAGGGTAGGCTCCCACGGAAACACGGAAACCTAATCTTGCATTAAAATATGTGATTGGTTAAAAATTAACCAATCACTACACTCGTACTAAGAGAACAGACAAGCACGCTCAAAACCAAAGGGTTCAAAGAAACTACTGCGATGGCTAAATTGTCCTATATAAAGGTATTAGTGATTTATTAGCCAATCGCAGGCGAATAAAATGTGGGCGTGGAAAAACATAGCAACCGCTACATGTCACTCAATTTCTGCGTCCACATCACCCCTTACATCTGGCCGCCTAATTCTCCACACTGCGACCCCCTTGATTATTACGTGTGGGGCGCAGTTGATCGCGAAATCAACAAAATCTTCTGGTAACACCAAAGATGAACTGAAATCAAGGATTATGGCAGCATTCACCAACTACTTAAACAAGGACACCGTCCAGAAAAGATGCCGGAGGCCGTGGTTGAAGCCAAGGGCGATTTTATTGAATAAATTTACACTTTGGTATTTCAAGATATTTATGTAATTTTTGTATAAAATGAAATGTCTGTATTATTTTCATTTTTGCATAATTTAGACAACAATTTATCCATCGCTCCTTGTATTTATACATGCATAACTAAGTTTATGCGAGACGTTATTGCTTCAAAAATTTAACAAATATGTTAATAATAAAATTTAGATTTTTAAGGTTTACTAAAAGAAATTTGGCGCCTGTTAGTGTTCCACAATCAAGAATATATATATATATATATATATATATATATATATATATATATATATATATATCACTTGATAAGACACCGAGTGTTGAAACAAAATGGCTATTTTTGTAGTGATTTTATAACATGTTTATGTTATAAATTTTCTAAATAAATAATTATATATATATATATATATATATATATATATATATATATATATATATATATATAAGAAAAACAGATCACTTTAAGGTACCATTATATAATAATTTATTTCACCAGAGTCCTTTTAAAAGGACGCCGGATTATCAGATAGCACTTCCAACAACGAAATGAAACGAAATATATATATATATATATATATATATATATATATATATAATGAAAATATATATATATAATGAAAAAATCTCAATAAAAAGTGTGGATTCCTGCAAAGTCGTACAATCATTTTTCACTCCCCCTCGGTACTTCCGCTTTTCAGGACGCCGATTAATGAACTCAGCCTCCTCCCGAAGGCGAGGGGTAATGTTGGGGGGTACCCCGTTGTGGCATGAGCTGATTCCAATTTCCCCGGCGTATAGACAACTTTGGCCGTCTAGTAATACATTACGCATCTAAGGAAAGATAACTCTATTAAACTCTAAACATCGATTTCCCAGCACATTGTTTTTAAGCATCATTCTCTTTAATGCAAATTATTATTTGGGTTTATTTACTAACGTGGAATGTGAATTCATTTTTTAAATATCCCTCCCCGCCAAAAAAAAATCTTCAGCAACTGGGAAATTTATTTAATTACCATGTTTTGGCGGACGTGCCGATATCATCAACCTTTTTTTGTGGCGAGGTTGATCCAGGACTGCTACAGCGGCATCCCAAGAACATGCCGTCCCTCGTTAACAAAAGGAAAACTACAAAAACAGCAACTTATTATTATTCAATCTCCATTCTTTAGATCTTCACATTCGTTACCGGCTGGGATGAAATTCTTATTTTCTTATCGTCCTTACCATAAAACATCTGTCCACATGTTCGATAAAGTTGTTTATAGCAATCAACTTAAACGAAACTTTTCTTCGTCCCCTTTTTGGCTTAATTCTTTATTTCAGTATCAGGACAATAGTAGACCAAAGAATTCAAATGGTGTCCCATTATTAGTTCCGGTACCTAATTCTTTAAAGACATCACCAGTAATACACTGTCCCCAGGCTGTGTCATCTTCACTGACCTTCCCCTCCTCGTTTTTCAACCGTCGACTTCAACCTTTTACAATCCATTCTATAATCAATGCAAAATGTTACGGTACCCAGTCTAAAAATTCCCCAAATCCGGATACGACCTCCAGCCCGATTTCTCTCAATTCAGAACCTGACAAATCACAACGTTTACCTCAGACCGGAGATTTGGTAAGAAAAGAACTAAAGTCTTACTGTCAAATTTTCGTTTAATTTCTGTTTGTTCTATCTTTTTTTTAACCACCTTTCTTTAACGAACGTACACTACATTTGCATTACAAGCTTTTCCTTCATTTTCACTTCACAGGTGATACAATATTTCTTTATTTTAACAACTGCCGGTATTTTCTGTTCCAGATGTGGCCACGACACAATAGGTAAACAAAACCTTGCAGTAATTATTATAGGAATTACATTGTAGTCATTATTATTATTATTAGTTTTTTTTGTTGTTGTTTTTTTTTTTTTTTACCTATACCAAAAAATGACGATTATTTAATTTTTTTGCATTGATATATTTTTGGTAAAAGTCGAGAATCGGGGCCATAATTCGTGAGTTAAAATTTTTATATCATTTTTAATTTAATTTTAATTTTTAAATATATTTATTTTCAAATACATTTTTTTTTTTTTCGAAATATTTAGAATCTTAATTTTAAAATATTCCTAGTTGTGCAAATGTTGATTCCTTTTTCTATGCTTTAGAAATGAAGCCAGGTTGTTTGAATATGTGTAAATCAACAAAATTATTTTCATGAATTATATAAATTTATAAAACTTAATGCGACTGTACTCCGGAACCCACTAAAGGTGACCAACTAAAAATGAACCTTGTTACAAGTGTTCTTGTTTAATTAAATACGTCTTTGATTTGAGTAACTGCTAGAGAGTGTTTACTGTTTATCGATCTGTCAGGAACAAAAATACTAAAATTCTTCAGATAATTACTTTCATTTGCTCCAAAGAGCCATTGTTAATGAAGCACTCGGCCGCGGCTATATATTCTTTTTAGTTTTTTACTTGCAATCAAATATCAATGTTTCATATATTTCCATTATTTTGTCTGGACCTTCAGTTTTATCACCACTGGAATTACGGCACACTATACAATACATCCCTACAACATCTGAACTAGTCTACTACTGTTTTAGTTTACTTGGAGTGTAGTTACTTAAAAATGAAAAAAAAAAATCAACCACTCAGGTAGGATATAGAGCCCATAAAGTGTATTGACAATAAATTATTACTTTCATTTTTGTGCACTGTCTTGTGGCTTTGATTCTAAACATTTCTTTTACCTTTTTTTTTCTGCATGAGTATTTTCGGAATTTTTTTTTTAATTATCGACGTAATTTAAATTAATTATATTGTTGTGTAAATAAAAAAAAATTCTGCTTGTGAAATGCTTGAAAATATCCAAAGAAAATTAATACTAATAGGGGTAACTTAAACGAAGCAAAAGAAAACAATATATTCCTGATCTCTCGACACTTCAATTTCATAATGAAATTTTCATTATTTCAATGTTAACTGTAACACGACGATGCATAATTCATTGAGTACAGATTTATTGCTATAACAATGTAAATTTTATTGTAAATTGTAATAGCTTGTAAATGCTGCTTGGTTTATGCGTTGAGGTTATCAAATGTAATTGCGTGTTCTCAGAGCATTTACCTATTATACATTTAACGATTCAAGAAAAAAAACGAGACTCCAATTGTATATATTAACAATAAAATATATATTGAAACAATAACATACAAAAAAACAATCATGTAATGTTGTGTAGTAATTAAAGGATAAAAAGTTGCTTCCCTTTAACTGTATTGAATGTTTGAAAGAATTTCTCTTGAATAAGAATGTTCAAGATTCTATGTTGAATAGAGTCTGGTGTAGAAAGGAATTAAGTGTGTTGTTTTGTGAAATATATAGAGTGCTGGTTCATGAACTTGCTTAGTCACAGAGAGGAAGGTATGTGTAATGTGATACAAAAATCTGTCTGTGTGTGCATTGCGAGTAAAGTTGTGGATTTGTGTAGACCGCCGTAAATAGCTGGACTCTACTGACGACTTGTGAGAAAGTTGGTAAAAGTTGTTGGTAATGTTCTTTAATGCCTGATGCATGGTTAAGATGGGAGATTACATCTTGGCAGCAAGGAAAAAGATGAATGAAGAGAAACACGATAGAGCTTATTTGTGTTTTGTTTATATAAGGCTGTATCTCATGTGGTAGGCTCCAAAGCTTGTGCGCAGGAAAATTATTCCTCACATGCTGGCAATTTGATTGGTCGGAATTGACCAATCAGCAAGCTAGTTTTGAGGAGATTAGCCAATGAATGCTTGCCGTATGATCTGTATGTATGTGTGTATGATGGCGATGATGATCGCTACAAGCTCATTAATAAGTAGGGGAGATCAGATTGTGTGACTGATTAATAAAGTCATATTGTGTTTTTATTATGCAATACTTAATGCATTATTTACTTTACTGTTAAATCATGCTTAAGTGCACCAGTTCTTGTTTGATCACTGGGGTTGAGCAACATCAACCCTGCTCAGTACCTTAGATAAAGGACTGTTTGGGAACACTGGTAATTATAAGCAGTGGGGGAGTAAACCCTAATTTTAAAATGTGGGGAGGTGATTAAAAGATGGTGGTGCATATGATGACTGATTGCTGTTTTGGATTACATCTAATATCTCTTTGACAGAGAAATATCAATGGCAAGGAGATACCATCTCTAAACATGAAATCCTGTAACCTTTAGCAGAAGTTGTGATCACTAATTTTACCAAGTTATTTGATCTGAAAGTGAAAAACATGATAGTTATTGAATCCCACAATTCAAAACGTTTGTCCAATGATGACACAAGGAAGAGGATGAATACAAATTAATTTGGATACAATTGAAAATAACAAGTACCAAAAAAATAACTTATAATAATATAATAATTATCTGAAGTCCATCATAATGCTTTTAAAAAAGGGTATAGAAATAGGGAACTGAATTTTAAGGTTTTGAACAGAAAATTTATCAGAATGCTGTGTCCCATTAGGACAGAAGTGATCTTGGCTTTCCATAAATTTCTGTTTCTCTAAATTCTTTCCTTTGCTTTTTTCCAATTATTTTTTTATCAATTCCCCCTCCCCAAGCAAAGGCAATAATGCCACTAAGACACTCTTGTAGTAAAGAAAAGACTGTCAACTGATAGTAGCAACTGCAATAGATTTCTTATTTCTGGGCCACAACACTTGTAGCCAAATTGCAGTTCACACGATAGTCCGACGTAACAGTCCAACACACATCGTAGAAACGACAAAATGGGGTCACAAATCCAACCTTCACTTCTCACCAACAACAACGCATGTTCGTTTTCACAGCTCAAAAAAATCATCTCCTTTTATAAGCGAAAAACGACGACTTCTGTTCACCGAGAAAATTTTCTGATTGGTCACGCCATTCAGGGGATGGAAGAACATTAGCATAGCTTCTAGTCATTGATGTTGATTTTTGCTGACTGCTTTTTGGTAATTTTTCTTTGGCAGATCGCACACAAAACAGAAACTTTTTTTCGGGGTACCTGATTATCTCTTTCACTACAGACACAAAGAGTTACTAAGTGTGAAAGAGTATGAAAAGTCTCTAGAAGGAACTGGAAATCCAATCCTAAACAGGGAACAAGGGACAGACCTCTACACCTGTTTAAAAGGCCAGGGAGAAGTGTGAACCAGACAATAGGTGAACCTATATGCTCCTAAAATAGTAAATGGGGAGTGCTTATTTGCAGATTATAGTGAGGTTATTTTGACTTGTTTGAAGTTGTTTTTTGACCTAACCTCTGGAACCAATTAATGACATAGGGTGAGGTATACTTGCGTGCGCGCGCGCATGTATGTATGTATGTATATATATATATATATATAGAGTGTGTGAATAAAAAGATGAGTTTTGTCCTCTGAGGTACTTTATCAAGGCAAATGTTTTGCCTAACAAAATGTGTCGGCTAAGGATAGTTTTTCCTCTTGCCTCTTCATTCATTTTGTTCCTTTGCAGACAGACAGACTCTAACTGAAAACAAATTACACACACACACATATATATATATATATATATATATATATATATATATATATATATATATATATATCTCCTTCATTCCTGTGTCAAATTTTAGCTTGAAGCTAGGAGCTTCCAATTGTGCACACAATGTTTTAAAATTGGATAAGTTTGTTATTAGATCTTTTCAATCAACTCTAGACCATTTACTTTTGGAAACTAATGTTTTAGTTTGTACATATATTGTTTAAAATTTGCTATATTTATGAGTGAAAAATTCTCATTATTGAGCATTTTTTAGATACAGTCAGTGCAGACATAGAAATCAACACTGCATAATGACTGTCAGTTTCATGAAGTGTCAATTTCTTTGTCCACACTAATATATATTTAATGTGTGTGTGTGTGTCTGGTTGATATGATGGCTGTTGGAGAATAGACTGTGCATGAGCAAGGTAAACTTGTAACAATCTTACACCTCAAGCACTTGTAGAAGTAAAATAAGTTGTTGCACCCATTAACAGATACAACAGGAGAAAGAGTTTAGTTAAAACTTTTTTTTAATACTAAAAGTCACCCAAGAGTCATACATACATATACATGTACACACATATATAATAAAAAGGCTTAAACACTAATATTCCATGGTCATAATTTATTCCATTGGAATTGTAAATACAATCCAATTCATCAGACCTACAAATTGAAAAAGAAAACGGAAAAAACAACTCCGGAAATAAAAACAGAATTTAGAGAGTGTAAGTATGAGGGGTAACAGACTAGAGAAGGAGGGAGATTAAACCTTAACAGAGAGAATTTTAGGGGAGGTGAGTGGAAGGGGTTTAAGTAAGAGAAATATGAATGTTGTCGGATGTCTAATGCATAACGATACATTTCGTGGTGACATCCACACACCATAGACGAATTAATGTTGAAGATCAGAATAAGAGGGAGGGAAAGATTATGTGGGGGTGATAGATAGGGCAAAGGAAAGTAAAATTGAACTACATTTACTGAAAGGGCCGCTGTGTAATTGAGAAAATTTGACAAATTTAATATCGACTACAGGTTACAAATCAAATATAAACAGATAAAAAATAAATATAACGATTATCTAATCTAGCAAGGACCTATATTTTTATGTTCAAAAATACATGCGAATATGCACAATAACATATACATGTATATATACACATAGGCGTGTACCCACATACACACATACATATACCCATGTACACACATATATAAATATATCCACATATCCACACATACACATATCCATCTATATCCATATACACACACTTTTCACATATATATATATATATATACATACATACACATGCACACACACACACACATATATATATATGCACACATACGCATCAATACACACACATACATACATACATACACACACATATATATATATATATATATATGTAAAAAAACAAAAAAAAAACAACAATATACAAAAATACATACACACGCATACATGCATATATACATACATCATACATCCATCCGCATCCAGTCCTTCATATATATACACATTTACCCACATATATACATATGGACATACGCATACGTGTACATAAACATATATACCTACAACCTTACATTTCTATACAATTACATACACCCATTTAAACAAATAAACAATGTATCCCTGTATCTATCCGTCTAACTATATATACATACTTATATACATACATATACACCCATATACAAATATATATGAGTACATACATACCAAAACATACACACACATATATACATACATCTACATATACATCCATTCTGGAGAGAAAAATTGTTTTGTATGACGTGGTGAACAAACCTTCTTAGCTGCAGACCTAGCGATTGATTCAATTTAATCTTTCCACTTCATATCAATAGAGAACGTTAGCTTGAGAAAGTGCAACGAGTAATTCTCTTGGAGGCTAGCATTAGCCATGCTGATGAAAGGCAAAAAGGGTTCTCTCAGATGATTAATAGAGAGAAATTTCGTTTTGGAAGTGTTAAAATTGACAAGCCATTTCTTGCTCCATTTAACAGAAAATTGTAGGTCATTTGTTTTTAGATCAGCTGCCAATTTGACTTTATCAAACCACTCAGACTTACTATTGAGACAGAACTAGAATTTACTTGAGCTGCTCAAGGGTAAAAGTTAAAATGGTAAGAATGAATGAGGTATATGAATGGAAGAGATAGCAGTGCATAGTGAAGATTATGAGAATAGATAACGTTTGACCCTTGTCTTAAAGATGTTAAGATTGTAGTGTTCAGGGAAGAATTCATGTGACGGTTTTAGGGGAAAAATTTTCAGGCCAATATGAAAAGATTGACACACAGCTATGACAGAAGAATTGAGAATGTCAACAAGCAGGCCAATACCTGAGTGATTATAACTATTAATCTTCTATAGATAGAAGGATTAAGAAATGTCAACGAGCTAGCCATTACCTGAGTGGTTATAATGTAACACCTATCCTGACCCCACTGGATTGATGTACTCTACAAGACTGGCCATTGGTCCTGACCTAATCCAGTATTACGGGTTCAATCAAAGTCTCTGATTCACAATGTTGATTAGATTTGATTCCACTTTTCCAGCAACATTGTGATTTTTTTGATCCTGGAGAGTAATTAACAAATTGTAGATCTCAGAAGATTCAGCTGGTCTACCTGCAAGTTCGTTGGGGCAATAATCAGGCTAAGCAGAAAATTCAAATATGAACAAGTAGATTCAAGTCCAAAGAAAAATCTATGTATATAAGGAAGAAATTGGTACAAAAAGAATAATGCTTCTTTTACAAGAAAGTAGTATATTTTAAATAAAGCCCAGTAAAAAAAAAAAAAAAAATATTGCAAATAATTCTGAAAGAGAAGTAGTTTTCAAGTTCATCCTTTTTGTTTTTAGTAGTTGTCGTAATTATTTCTCTATCAGGATATAAAGAGTTTCACTGGCAGTATTGCGCCAATATTGCAGATAACTTGAGTTCACTTCCTCCCTTATTACAGCACCAAGCGGACGCTTTCACTCTCACTGCCTATCCCTTTCTCTCTTGTCAACTGCTTGTTAACTCACTTCACTTAGCTCCAAGACTTTGACTCTGACTGTTTGTTTTCGCACAAACACGAGCTTAAATAAACACGGTGGTAGTGACAAAAACCTGGGGTGTTGGTAACTTAGAATACAACCTGATTACTGACTTCTCCCCCTTCACAATTAAATGAAAAGTCTCTTCTCAATTGGTATTTCATAGTTCATATAAACACTATTGTTTTGACACTTTATATTAATAATTCTGACAAAGCACAGATTTTCTGGGCACAAACTTCACCACAGATTATCTTTCTCATCTATAAACAAAATTCTATATTACTATAATTATTAATATTTCAAGGTTGACAATTTCTCTCTGTCACATAAATAGAAATCTCCCACACATAACTAAAGAGTTGACTGGGCATAGCTTTATAGATGTAACCAGAATCTCTACATCACCATTCCTGCAGTAGAGTATTTTGATTTGCAGAAACTAATAGACATTTTATTCAGTTTTCTTTATATTTAATAAATCTGTTGTTAGTGTTATGAACATTGCCGTGCATTTCATTGAAGGAATTCTTTTTCTACCTTGAGTTCAGAGGAACACCCGGATGAAAAGAGACAAAACTTTACGTTAAGGAAAGTGTTGCGTAATCTTCAGTGGGAATTGTGTAATCTTTGACGTATTGTCCAGTTCTGCCTATAATACACAACGTATATGGGGTTCACACTAGACTTCACCATCAATCCTAATAATGTCAAATTTTAGGAAGCCTGAAACAACCCTACCAAGATGAAACACCGGATTCAAGCTGATTGACTATAAGGTTGGTATTACACAACCAAGCTATCAGAACTAGCGACTTGCAAACAGAAGAAAAGAAAAAAAAAAAGAAAAGAGTTCCTTGTCAGTAGGTGGGTTTACAGTGAGTGAAATTGGGTAGATAGAACTATTTGGGAATGGTCAATGGTTGTGCTAGCATGAAGTGACAAGTCATCATGACCGAGGGTTTGAGTGTACTGGCCTTGTTCAGACTGTTGATCATGCCAGATAGTGTGTTCTCTCCCAGAAACCGCAACTAAGGTCCACTAAGCATGGTTGCAGTATAAATCAGAGGTGACCTCTGTGATTATTGCACAAGCACAAATGTGCCTGAGTAGGTATCTGCATTAGGGATTGGCAGCCACTCTAGTAGACAGGCATACTTGGATATGAATGGCCAGCCATTATTATACTCCATGCAAGTAGCATGATGTGTTCTTACAGAAAAGTCTGAACTGGTGGAACTAAACAATGGAATGCTCATCTGAACATTTGGCGTGTAAATGTCAATAGAGTAGCAATAGATTTGCAGTGTTGTGTTTGTGTTAAAAGAGGCTGCAGAGTGGAGAGTAAGTCTTCCCCACAAGATCATTTTGAATTCTGTCAAGACTGCAAAGTGGGATCGAACAACACCAACACAGATATGGCAGTCAGTACTCACATTTGGAGTCAATAAAAAAAAAGATTCAAAATGAGACACTCTCTTCATTAGAAATATGACCTGTAAAACAAAAGAATAATACTTTTTTTTTTTCCCCCCCAATCAGTGATTTCATGAGAAATCAGTAAGCCGAGTTCAAATTTCAGTAAGATTTGTAACATTCACTTACATGTAAATAGACTTGAGAAAGGTATGAATCTACAGTGGAGTAATGGATAGCAGCTCAGATTGAGGTCTTGGAGAGCCGAGTTTGAATTCCAGTCAAATCCATTACATTCACTTATGTGCTTAATATCCTTGGGAAAGGTATGAATTCTCTTCTCCCCCAGCTATGGGTAAATAGCAGGACAGACTGGGTTCTATAGCCTTGGAGGGCAACTGGTCTACCACAGAAAGAAATGGCAACCTACTGCTGGAAAAAATCTGCCTCATCAGTCATGTATAGAAAGATACACAATCGCCTACACATGTATCACGCATGGCACATAACTGACTGATTGTCATTTTGCTATGAAAATGTATTGTTGATCATTTTGCTATAAAAAAATGTATTGTGTGTGTAGTTTTGTAACTTTTCTGTTTTTTGATTTTTGGATAAATGATTGCAGAAGTGTATTATGTTTTTAGGGATTTTTAAAGATGCAATTTATTTTTCTTTTTCTTTTCAGAAAGAAGACATTCAAACAATACCAAACCTGTTAACATGTTGTCGAATGGCATCAGCTCCCTTTGTCAGTTATCTTATTTTGAATAGCTATTTTTCTTGGGCCCTTGGCTTACTTGTATGTGCAGGAATTACAGATGTGGTAAGATAACATTACTTAAAATCCTTTATTTTCACAAAACATTAAGATAACTAGTTGTGTGTGCGTGTATGTATGTACATATATATAATTGTGTGTGTGTGTGTATATATATATATATATATATATATATATCTCCACCTCCACCTCCAAGTGGAGATACATCTAAAAAGGGAAATAAATCCAGCACCACTTTAGATGCTGAAGTTTACCAAATAAAGTGCTTGCAATGTAAAAACACTTATATTGGTGAGACATCTATCTACAATCATAAATGTTGGGACAACCATTTAAACTCACTCATAATACACAGGAACAAAACTGTCCATAACATTGATTTTACTAATACCACCCTAATTAAATTCTTTGTCAAAAATACTTTAAGTGAGTTCTGATAAATATTTTACCATATATATATATATGCACACATTTACAAATAAACATTATCATCTGAATCCCACATAGACAAACTAGAATTATTATACACTAACATATATAAAATAATTGAAGTATGACCCAAACTAAAATAAATATATAAAATAAAAATATTTAGGGAAATAGCAATTAAGAAAAGTAAAACTTTTTTTTGATATTTTTAAGTTTGCAAAGGCATCAGTGATGAAACAGAACTGAATTAAAGTGAAATAATTTCAGTGCATCAGACGACACTTAAATCATGTCACATTTTTAAGGATTATGTTTTGTATAGATTCCCATATGCAGAAATTAGGAACGTTTTTTCACTAAAAATTATTTCAAAAATTTTTTTTGAATATTTAGGTACAAATGACTGTTATGAGCTTTTCAAATTTTGATTCATTAATGTACTTTTCATTTAATGATATCAATTTAATGATATCAAATTTTGATTCCTAAACGTACTTTTCATTTAATGATATCACCAAATCGCTGTCTTGAAAGCAATGAAGAATTTTAAATGATTTTTGAACTATTATTATAATTAAAATTTTAAAAATTCTTGTAAAAATTCATTATTCATCGAAAAGTTTTTATTTCTTCAGAAAATAGTGTCCTTAATATAACTTATTTGTAAAAGCAATTAAAAGATTTTCTAATTAAATAATGTTAGTTTTATTGCATTTTTTATTTTACAATTCAGAGCACATTTTTGATGAAACAGGTAACTTTTTTATACAAAAAAAATTGATGATTTACTTTCTCCAAAGAGTCCTGTTTTTAACTGATAAAAAATACCCCACTTAAAAATTTAATTTCTCAAAATTTCATGAAATTAAATAAGTGGGTGGTAACATATATAAAAAAAAAAAAAATTTTTTACCAAGATTTTCTAAAAAGAAAATTTCAAAAATAATTTCATTCATTTCTGAATATGTCTTGAAAGTTTCATTAACATCCAACAATTATTTGAATTTTGTAAGAATTTCCAAATCAAATTTTCACCAGGAAAAAATGCAAAAAACCCCCCCAAAAACTAGCCTTTATCTTTATCCATTGCTGATGTTAAAAAAAAAAAAAAAAAAATTTTTAACCAAAATTTTGAATGTGCTACAAAGGAGTAAAAAATTTCAAAAAATAATAAAAAAATACTTTGGCCGTTCCTCTTAATAATAACATAAACATTTTGATGACAAAACTTTGTTTTTATTGAGTTTGGGTCCTTTTTTTCATCATGCTATACTGTTTTTTACACAACCAAGTGGAGGTGCCTACCATAGAGGTTGATATGCAACCAATCAAAAAGCTTCATCCAGTAGAATATTGATCAAGTATTGAGAAATAAATAAAGTTTAACTTCTTTAGTTTAGTAAATCCCATGGTCCAGCACATTTTTTAATTCATTGTGCAGCTACAAGAGCAGTGCCACATGTTGTTTACAACTTTTTGAAGCAAAAAGTTTTGTTTATAGTCTTACTCATTTACATATAACTGCATATATTCATTATAGTATATTGTTTTTCATTTTTAGGCTTTCTTTTTAGCTTTTGTCTTGCATGAAACAATGAAAACCTTGTTTGGAAGCATTAATGATTGTTTTATTTCCAGTTATAAGCTTTGTTCATTGATAAAACAGCAATGTGTGTGTGTGTGTGTGTGTGGAACTGTCAGGTTTATGTTTACATTGGGATTTCTGTCATTCGGTATTTTTTTGGTCTGGAAGTGGCCTCGTCCTAAGTGTACTGGATTAAAGTGGTTGAACTGTATTTTGAGGATTAAGGACATTACTAAATTCATAATTAATTTTTGTGGTTTCCGAATGGTGTAACATTTTTCAATAAAATTTTTCTTTTTTCTTTTCAATTTCAAGCTTGATGGTTACATTGCAAGAAACTTTAAAAACCAGAACTCTATGTTGGGAACGGCACTGGACCCATTGGCAGACAAAATCCTTATTAGTTTCTTGTCTGTCTCTTTGACAATGGTTGATCTTATCCCATGTAAGCATTTTCTTTTCTCTAGTGCATTTTCATTTCTTGTTTTCTCCTACAGGTACAACACTTTTATTCTATCTTTCAATGTTTAATCTATTAAATGGTAGACATGATATTATAATATTCAGGGCATTATTTTAGATTTAAATGATGATAATATATAATATTCTTCTTTTTATTCCTTACATTATTCATTCCTTCATCCATAGATTCCACTTTCATAATATCTTTCAATGTCTAATCTATTAAATGGTAGACATGATATTATAATATTCAGGGCATTATTTTAGATTTAAATGATGATAATCTATAATATTCTTCTTTTTATTCCTTACTTTATTCATTCCTGCATCCATAGATTCCACTTTCATTATATCTTCCAATGTCTAATCTATTAAATGGTAGACATGATATTATAATATTCAGGGCATTATTTTAGATTTAAATGATTATAATCTATAATATTCTTCTTTTTATTCCTTACTATATTCATTCCTGCATCCATAGATTCCACTTTCATTATATCTTCCAATGTCTAATCTATTAAATGGTAGACAGGACATTATAATATTCAGAGCATTATTTTAGATTTAAATGATTATAATCTATAATATTCTTCTTTTTATTCCTTACTATATTCATTCCTGCATCCATAGATTCCACTTTCATTATATCTTCCAATGTCTAATCTATTAAATGGTAGACATGATATTATAATATTCAGGGCATTCTTTTAGATTTAAATGATGATAATCTATAATATTCTTCTTTTTATTCCTTACTATATTCATTCCTGCATCCATAGATTCCACTTTCATTATATCTTTCAATGTCTAATCTATTAAATGGTAGACATGATATTATAATATTCAGAGCATTATTTTACATTTAAATGATGATAATCTATAATATTCTTCTTTTTATTCCTTCATTTCTGCATCTATATTACCCTTTCTTTAGATGTATACATAAAATTGGCTTTGAAGTAAAGGTCTGTAGAAAACAAAAGTACCTTTGATAGACCGTCCTATATAATAATAGGAATATGAATAATGTAGGCATATCATAGTCTGCAGATGTGTACATGTAATAAGCTTTGGAGTAAAGTTGGATGAAAATCCAACAGAATGATAAATATTTGAAAATTTATGTTTTCAAAATTGTTTTATGTATTAACAAATATACCCTAATTCCCCATGTATAATACACATTTTTTCTAAAAAATAATAAGCAAAATCAGGGGTGCGTATTATGCACAGATACAAAAAAAATCTTTTAAAAATTTCTGTAAAATAAGAATTATCATAAAACTAAATTAGAACAATATTGTCCTATGTTTAAAACCATTCATTTTAAATAAGAGTAGGGAATGCTGGCTGTAATGAAATTGGAGAGGTACAATTTATAAGGTTCAATTACCAAACAAGGGGTGTCTATTATGCGTGAGTAAAATCATTTTCCCACACTTTCAGCACTATTTTAGGGGTGCGTATTAAGGATGAAGGTGTTTTATACATGGGTAATTACAGTAATTCTGTAAATCATACCTTTGGTTCAATCTAATATATAATAATATTAATAATAATAATAATAATAACACCACACCCACACCCATATATGAAATAAGCTTTGACATAAATGTTAAAAATGAACAAAAATACTTTTTCATACAGACTAATATTTCTTGGAAGTAAAATTCATTGTTGGGCCAAATCATATATTGTAGATTTCTGAGATAATAAATCATTTAAAACTGATTACCATCATAAATCTAATATTTAACAATAGCTAGAGTATTTCCTTTGATTTTGCAAATTTATATAAATTAATATCATTGCATTTTTCCACGAAAACATTTTTTTTAGATTAGCAGAATTCTCTTAATGATTTTTCTTTCTGGCTTTTAAGTGCTTACTTTTTAATCTTACAAGAACAGATTATATGCTTTAAGGAACAATAAACCTATATTCTCCTGGTGAAAGATAACACTGTAATTTAACCTGTATTCTCCTGGTGACAGGTTAAGGTGACACCTTTTTCTGCCATATATCTAAACTATAATTTTGGATAGAGAAAGTTTCACTGAAATATACTGAGAAATTTCTAAGATTTTATTTGAAATCAGGATATTACAAACTTTAAAAATGGTTACAATATATGGAAAACTAATGCCAGGAAGATATCAGTTAAGATTCAACCTTAGGAAAAAAAAAAAATTTGCATTTCATTTCAGTATTTGATTCAAAATATAAATCTTGAATTCTATGTAATATCTTTGGAGTCTTAAATAACTGATATTATTCAGAATTATAGTATTTTTTTTTTTTTGTTTTTTATTTGTATTGTGAGATATCAACATGATTTTAACCCATATCTGCCTGACATCATTTTAAACTGACAATTTTTTGTATCTATCTATATTTCTGAGATATTATGTACACTATTTACATTGTTCGGACTATCGTCCTAATCTTTGTTGCTATATTTATCACAATGTTTTGGCCATTGTACACTCCGGCATTATTCAGGTGGTTGGAATGTCAAACTGAACCCTTTATTTCACTCACTGGGGTAGACTGTTCTAGTTCCATGTGCCATGTCTAATGAATGTCAGTTATCTCTTATTAATTCCCCTCTCCAAGTTCTCCTCGAGGACACATGGCACAGTGGATGAAGGCATTAGTTAGATCCAGCGACAGGACCCAGAGAGTGTGAGTTCAATACCTGGTTAAGGCAGTGGAGAACTTAGAGAGGGGGATTAACAGGAGATAACTGATAACTGACATCCATTAGACATGGTACGGGGAACTAGAACAATTTACCCCAGCAAGCGAAATAAAGGGTTCAGTTCGACATTCCAACCACCTGAAGAAGGCCGAAGCGAACAATGGCTGAAACGTTGTGATAAATATGGCAACAAAGATGAGGACAATAGTCCAAACAATGTAAATAGTGACATCTTTTTATCTAAACTAATTACAAACTTAAATTTCAGAAGGTGGAAATTTAATTGAATTTTCATCTGAAATCAAGACAATATGAAACCTAAACAAAATGGTCACAATTCTCTCTCTCTCTCTCTCTCTCTCTCTCTTCTTTTTTTCCTTTAAAAAAAAAAAAAAAGAAGAGATCAGTTTAAACTGACACCAGGAGAACATGAGTTAATGTTATGAATATTCTCTTATTGTTTCTTTTGATGACGTTCTCTTATATTTCAGTGCCTCTATTACTTGTCATAATCGGGCGTGATTTAGGTCTCATTGGCATCTTCTTTTATATCCGATATGTGTCACTGCCTCCCCCTGTAAGTATACAGTCTCTCATATTGCTTACCTGCGATTCTATCAATAATAAGGATCAATGTTAATTTTATTCATAGTGGCCTACAGAAGATCAAAAATTCTGTTAAGTGACTGAAAAAGTGAAGTGTGCAAAAAGTATTTTTACTTTTGAGACAATCAGTAATTTTTTTTTTTTGTCTAAAGTTTTGAAAAATAAATCAGTGCTTATCCCAAAAAAAAGAAAAAAAATGATTTATTCAGTATTTATTTTTATTTATTAATTATTGTCTAATCCTAATTTGTTTTCTTTATTACATAAATAAACTGAATTACTAAAAAACACTACAGACCACAGTACACTGGATGGTTTTGCATTCCCTCATTTGTAGACATGAATTCAGCCAGATGATGTAATAGGTAAAGAAGTAGTGTAGCTGTGGTATGAACGTAAGACTGACTGCAGAATAATTGTATAGATCAGAAAGTTGGAACTTTTTTTTTTTCTTGAGATGACTACATTTTTTTCTTGAGCAACATTAACAAGGGTACTCCAAAAATAAGTGAATTCTAGACAAATATCAGCAGGATATGAAAACTGCAGGCACCCATGTGATGCAAAAATGGGACTATTAATGACTGATGTTAATGGCCACTTGTATTCAAGGATACCCGTCTACTAGGGTGGCTAGCCAATCCCTATTGCAGAATCTTGCTCAGGTGCATTCATGTTTGTTCGACACCCACAGGGCCAACCTGTGGTTTATACTGCAACTATGCTGAGCAGACCTTAGTTACAGTTTCTGGGAAAGAGCATGTTATCTAGCATGATCAACAGTTTCAGAAGGCTAGCACGCTCAAACCCTCAGCAACAATGACTTGCGACTTTGTACTAGCACAGCTATCGACAGCCCTCAAGGGTTCTGTCTACCCAATTTCACTTACAAGGCTTGGGTCAACCCATGGTATGATCTTCAGGAACTTTCCAAAGGTGCAACACGCTGGGATCGAACCCTCCAGTTTGATAACATCAGGAAGTCTTCTTGACAAATTGACGATGGTGAGATTCGAACCTGGGTCTCATGGTCAGAATGCAAATGTTCTAACCGTTCAATAAATAGCAACATTGCAGAATATCATGTCCCAATCCAACATGTCAACTGCGTGTTGTGCAAATTGGTCATGACTCTGTAATAATGTGAGGTGTTTTCTGTAGGAATTTGCAAGTATTGAGCCAGAGTGTTGGGATAAAGAGCAACTAAAACTAGTAATAAAATAATAGTAATAATGAAGAGCATCTTGAGACAGGGGTTGGGATAAAGTGCAGCAATAAAAAGATGGAATAAAACTAATAAGATAATAGTAATAATGAAGAGTGTATTTAACCACAGTGTTAGGATAAAAAGCAATAATATGGATTAAAACTAGCAGTTGAATAATAATAATGAAGAGTGTATTGAGCCAGAGTGTTGAGATGAAAAGCAATAAGATGGAATAAAACTTGTAATAAAATAATAGTAATAACGAGAATGCCTTATCTATAAATTTCAGAATAACTTTATATATAATTGTTGCAATTTGAGAAAATTTCTTGTTTAAATTAAAATTTAATTTTAAAATTTTTCTGTCTCTTTCAGAAAACAATAAAAAGATATTTTGATGTAACCCATTCAACTGCAGAAATATCTCCATCTTTATTAAGTAAAGTAAGTTATTTTTTTCCTCTGTCATTTTTATTTATTTTTTTAAAAAAGTAAATGTTGATTACTTTCCAAATCTGATGAGGCCTGATAGCATCTAAATCATTTGAGGCAAAGATAAAATAAAAGCCAAAATAGTTTATTTGCATAGAAAATTATAAGGGGTACAAACTTTCAACTTCATATTTTCTTAAGTATCAAATTTATAAGGTGCCAAACCATAATTTTTGCTTGACAAATTGTTCTAGAAAAATGTTTTAATCCTAGATGGAACTTTGTTCACAAAACGAAACTTCTGTCACATGATCTTCAGACATGTAAGAATATTTGGTAAAAATATAAAAATTTTCTTAAACTGCTTAACTGGTCTACTGATGTTATGAAAATAGGCATAAAAATTTATAAATTTTACAAATAATAAATATTGCATTGTATGCAGTTTATATATTTTTATAATCTTGTAAATAAACATTGTCAAGGTAGTATACAGTAATAACAATGTCAACAGAAAAATCATTCTTTTGAAATACCATCTTTTTTTTTTTTTTTTTTTTTTGCAGGCACAAAGGTTAAATTTTGTTGAAAGTTTTCCATTTTTCCATTCAATTACTTTGTGTTTGTGTAACACAGTCTGATCTAAGGCAGAAGCACACTTAACTAAAGTGCTGATTTATATGTAAATAATCTTGTCATTTTTTATGGGTAGTATGCTAATTATTTATAATGGTTAATTATCACTTGAGTAAATGATTCTTCTTTTTTTTTTTTTTTTCAGTGAGATTGAAATTTTTGTTATAGACAATTTACATTTTTTAATTTATATGTTGATAATTGTAATTATTTTTTAATTCAAATATGAATTTAAATTTAGCTAAGTCTAGAAGTGTCAAATGTACAGAAATTGATTAAGAACAATTAATCAAGCTTTTCACTTTCTTATATTGGGTATCACCCCCATCACTAAATGAGCTGTTTCACTAAGGGTGACTGCAACGCATAACCCCTCTGAATGCACTGTTCCAGTAAGAGTGACTACCCCTCCTCTGAATGAGTCAGTCCAGCAAAAGTGACCACCCCACTCTCAATGAACTGGTACAGTAAGAGTGACTGCCCCACTTGCTGAATTAACCATTCCAAGATTGGCCCTCACCTTCCCCTCTGAATGAGCTGTTCCATGGCCAGTAGTACAAATATATAAAAACCCTATAGAGACAGATGTGTTTCAGGGGAGTGTTCTTACATAATCCTTTTATTGCTTCAATCTTGTTTATCTTCTATTAACTCTTTTTCTCTTCATCTTATTTTTGTTGATGGTTAGTAAAAATAGTTTTTACTTAATAATATTATCTATTATTAAGTAAAAACTATATTTATTCATAAAATTGAAAAGCTTAATACAATTCACCAAACACCAATATTTTTAAAAGAATTTTGAAATTTTTTTGTACATGTATAAATGTGCCGTTTTTTGTAGATATGGATGCCTATACATAACATTATAAGAAAATAATAGCAATTGCTATAGTAAATTTAAAGCCAAAGTATCTAAAATTAAATAAAACATTAGATTACAGAGAATATTTTCCTAAATTTTTAAGATTGAGTACTTAAAAATTATATAAAAAAATCTTATATTCTTCAATTATTTTTACAGATAAAGCCTTTGTAGAAAAACATTAGATAAACATCTATCTGTCATCAAGCTGTCAACATTTTAAATAAACAGCTACTGCTGTGTTAAAAAAGTATTTCTGTGATATTTTAATCTTAAAGTAAATATTTGTTTCAAATTAGATTAATTATACTTTAAATCAGCTAATATTCCTCAAATAAAGTTTCAGAAAAGTATATTTTATTTTTGAAAGAGTTTTTAATAAAGAGAATTATATTGTGATAAACAAGGACTAAAATGGTGCTGAAATCAGATTTTTTACCAAAAGAAAACTCTTTTCAGTCAATTTAAATAAGTTTTGAAATAAAGAAAAGTACTTTGCTTATTGAAAATATTAAATTTAATCTATCAGCTTGAAATTGAAACTAAAATAAATGCTTCAAGAAAGATTTTTCATTTTTAAAAATCATTTTAAACCTTAGGTATCACAAATTTTTGTAGGTACCTACTGTTAAGTAGTAACCGACATGAATTAGACACAATTACTGGTATGAATAAAAGCAAAAATAATATGACAAAAGATAAATTAGTCAAAAATAAATAACAGAAAATATTTGATCTTGGAAATTTGGACACCTCACGATGGTTACTTTTATGCTTTGATATTCAGACCAGCAGGATTATCTTGTATATCACTGAACATTGAAGTCAAGCAATATCAAACCTGGTCAGTACCTAGATGGGTGACTGCTTGGGAATACCAGGTGCTATAAGCTTGGATGTGCAGGTGGTATAATGGATAATGGCTTGGGATTAAAAATTAGAGAGCTGAGTTCTAATTCCAGTCAGTTTCATTATATTCACTTATATGCAAATTTGAAATGGCTAAATGTAAGTTCTATGCTAACAGTTTCTTCTCTTATACTTCTCGCTTGTGGAATTCTCTTCCGACTTCTTGCTTCCTACTCAACTTTGATCTTCAAAATTTTAAATGCAATGTCAATCATCATCTTCTTAAATCCTGTTCTTTTATTGTCTTCTTTCCTTAATAGTAGTTTTTCTCATATTCTCTAACACTCAGTAACCTCTTACACCCTAGTGGCTTTATTCCCTTTGATCTTCAAAATTTTAAATGCAATGTCAATCATCATCTTCTTAATTCCTGTTCTTTTATTGTTCTCTCTCTTTAATAGTGTTTTTTTGGTGTTGTTTTTTCTCATATTCTCTCACACTCAGTACCCCCCCCCGTGTCTTAGTGGCTTTATTGCCTTGCTTCAGTAAAATTATTAGATAAGAAAAATGCTCTTGGGAAAGATATGAATCCACCTCTTCTCTCCCCTTCCCAGTTATGAGTTAAATAGTAGAACTTGTATCAGAAAATCATTGTTATCTCCAAAGAAAATCTTGCTGCCTTTAAATATCCTGCAAAAGGTTGGTAAGCCATAAATTACAAATCATCAATCAATCAATATACAGTTATAAAAACCAAGATGAGAATGTTGGTTTAAATCTTTTTTTAATATGCTATTCCACCATTTTTATTACAATATGGGTGATCAAATCTCTCTACATCTTCCTTCCCTTGTATCTCTAAGCAATGTTTAACTCTCTTCTTCTTTGTGCCCTCTATGCCATCCATTCACACAAACTCATAAAGTAGGTTATCAAAGCTCTCCACAACATCCCTTGTATCTCTAAACAATGTTTCACTTTTTATCATCTCTCCTTATCTTTGCTCTTTCATTAATTCACACTCATAAAATAGGTGTTCATGACTCTCCACAACTTCCTTGTAGCTCTAAGCAACATTTGACTCTTTTCTATCTCTCTTTGTTCCCTTGATGCCATCTGTTCATATAAGCTCATAAAGTAGATGATCATAGCTCTCCACAACATCCTTTCCATGTAGCTCTAAGCAACATTTGACTCTTTTCTATCTCTCTTTGTTCCCTTGATGCCATCTGTTCATATAAGCTCATAAAGTAGATGATCATAGCTCTCCACAACATCCTTTCCATGTAGCTCTAAGCAACATTTGACTCTTTTCTATCTCTCTTTGTTCCTTCGATGACATCTGTTCACACAAACTTATTAGCTCAGTTACTTGCTGTTTCCCTCTTCCTTTCCTTTTCTCAGTAAGTTCTGTGAGAATGTTATTTTTCCAAGCTGTCTTTCCTCAAAATGTGATCTAGGTATTTCAACTATTTCTTTTTGATTTTATGTATAAATGACCTTCTAGTTCCCTTTTTCATTTAAACATCAACTCAAAATTTCCAACAAAATTAAGATAACTGTTTATCTCTTTCCACAGGTAAATACAGCAATTCAACTCTCTCTACTTGGTTTAAGTGTCGCCGCTCCAGTTTTTGGTTTTGTAGATCATGTTTTCCTACAAACGCTATGGTAAGTTTTCCTTTTTCACATTCAGAGTAAAACTTAATAGTTCTGTTGTTACTGTTAATGTTTTGTCACGCAGTGTAAGCTTTCAAATACATCAGGTACATAAGTTATCTGTCAAGCCACACACTTGGTGTTGTGGAGTCTTTCGCAGTGGAGGCTTGTATTTGTACTAAGTCAGTCCTAAAATAGGTTCGACATACAAAACGTTAGGAACTTCATATAATAGGTACAATGCAGAGTAATCTAGTTGTGGTCGCTGATACTTTAGTATTCGACTAAATGTCGTCCGGCATCGACTAACTGCCTGACTAACACACTCGTTACTCTTACTACTCCTACTTATTATAGGTGGGAGAGTCCATTAACTATAGAATAGGTGTGTTCCACTATAACACTTGGACAGACAACACTTTCCTCAAAATATATACAGTGCCCAAAAGAGCCGATTTTTGAATTACTTCAAGTTGGTATGGTATCCCAAGTATCCCAATGTGCCAATCACCACTGGAATCAACTTGACATTTCTGTCCCATATTCAGAACAATCTTGCTATCTCAACTTCCAAATCAGAGTAGTTTGTAGTTTTCTTTATCACCTTTTTTGCTATATTTGTGTCATTTGGTATGGCAACATCAATAATACGACGGTTCTCAGTACCTTTATCTTGCACAATAATATCTGGACAGCGATGGTGTATCATTCTGTCTGTCTGAAAACCATAGTCTCACAATATTGTGGGCTTTCCAGCTTCAATTTTTTTACATTATTTGGACTATTTTCCTCATCTTTGTCCCCATGTTTATCACGTTTCAGTCATTGTACGCTCCGACCTTCTTCAGATGGTTGCCCTTTTGTCGGGTAACTTGTTTTTATACCGTAACTTGCCTTGGATACATATTTCACAGTTTAAATCTAATTTATTGACATTTTTCATACCTTCAACAATTTCTTGTAGCTGGATAATGTCTTTCAGATAGCAATGTCCAGGATTTTGATGCCATTGTTTTAGGCTGTACATAGCAGTTTTTAAGTTTACTGCAACATTTAAATAGTATAAGCATCCATTTCTTTTTATGTCTGATTTCACACCATTAGGTAAATAAGTTTTGAATAATTATGGACAAATTTTATGGAAGCCCTTTTTCTGTAGCAGCTTGTACTAAGAATATACTTTGTTTGAATATAGGGATGTATACAGCATTCATTAAAATACAATCTTATATATTTCCTTCTGTGTCTATTATTGTTACTTGAGCATTGCCTTTTTTTAAAGCAATATTGCTGGTTCAACTGCCAACTGCCAGTTTAATATGATGATTTTCTGGATTGAAAGTAAGAAATTTAGATTTGTCAGTAATCACATGCACGGTGGCACCACAGTCGTCAAATAAACTGTTTTTGTTGGAAACAATATCTAGTTCAATTGAAAATAAATGAATGTTCATTCTCTAAAACATGTTCCACATTTTTTACGAAATAAGCTTTCTTTTTCTTTTTTTTTTTTGTTTTTTTTACACTCAGTACTTTCTTTTAATTCCAGGTTTGCAACAAGCATGGCAGATAATATTTTTGTTCAGTGGATTAGAATTATAATGTTTTAAAGGGGGAATTATTTACTGAGTAATTCCAAAATTTACTTCGACAATTAGGGCTTTTATGTCTAAGTTTACTACAAGTGAAACAGGTAGAAACATTAGTTTGTGGATTTGGTCTTGGCATTTGGAGAGTCATTACGGTATTTTCACTGTTATTCTCCTGAATTATCTTTTCAGTTTCTTTAAAGCTTCATAATGCTACTTTGAATTCACTAAACATTAGTAGCTTGTCTTTCTGAGTAATAACAGTTGTAAATGGTTTGAAATCAGAGAGATCTTTTAGGACTATTTGCTATTAGTAAACCATTGCTAATTACCTCCCCTGACGTTTTTAATAAAGTGGCTGTGTTTTTGGTTCCAATAATATAATCAGTAATAATTTCAGCAGTTGCTTTGCTTAGGGAGGTTAATTCAATATACAAGGAAATTATTTTTGGTTTTCCTTTTGATAAATAGTGCTCCTGCAAAATTTGCAGCACTTTTCTCTCATCATTAAAGGCTTTTCTCATAACAAAAGACAGACTTTGATCACTGAGAAATTGAATTAATTTGGCAAATGCATTTGCATTCTTTTCACAGTAGTCCTTGTCGTTGGGATGATCAAATGGTCCCAAGATTATTTTGTGTAATTTTTGGATTCACATGTAACCCAAAAACTTTACTTTCCTTAGTTTGTATTTTGATTCATCACCATTGAAACAGCATCTGTTCCTGTGCTCATAACCTGTGGAGTAAGTAGCCATGGTCAAATGCAAAATAAAGAACAGAATTGCAATAAAAAGAAAAGAGAACAAGGGAAAAATGAAATAATACCAAGCAAGCAAGCAAACAATATATGCAAGGAAAATTAACAGTAAGAAGGCAAAATTTTCACCAAATAAGAATTGACATTACGGACAAGTGAACATAGCGTTTTGTCTTCTAGACAAGGCAGATCTGGATTGAGTCATGTCAGACTACAAACCAGCCTATTTTATTGGCTAAGAAAAAAATCCCAGCATGCATTTGTGTATCTCAGCCTATAAAAGAGGAGGTGGAAAATATTTTGTAGTCATTCCCAGTAGGCTTGAAATCGACAAAATGTTTGAGAGATATTTCATCAAACATTCTGCAACAAAATAAAAAGGGAGATGGTGCTAAATCTATCTATTATAAATGCCCATGTCATGGTTGGTGGAAAATAAAATTTTTGGAGAATTAGCATTTCTTTTGCTTTTTTATATATATATATATATATATATATATATATATACGCACACATACACACACACAAAAGTAAGCAAAGCAACAGTAATAATGCAAAAAGTTCACAAAGTAAAAATGGTTGACACACAAAAGGGATACAGACAAGTGATTACAACATTCTGATTTCAAAACCTGAAAGAATAAAAATAGGACAGATGAGATCAAGAAATGGCCTATCTTATTGGCTAAGAAATCATCCCAGAATTTTGTAGGCATGTCTGTCCACTCTTCAGGGGGTATCAACAATTTACTGCCTATATTTTTTCAATTTTTTCCTTTTATGCATATTTAACAATGGTCCACATTTTCTTCTGTATTCTTTGTGTTGATGTGTACACTTGTGCATGCTCCCGTCTCTGCGGATGTGTATTCACTCGTGTGCACCTGTCTGCATGATTATGCATATGTGTAAGGAGTCGTGATCATTTTGCACTTTTCTTTGTTTTTCTTATATATATATATATATATATATGTGGGCATTGAATGTAGGTCAGAAATCCAATAGGATTATAAGATAAGGAACAAATATCTTGTCTAGTTCTTATTTTTAGTACTATCTTATTGGCTAGGAAGTTATTGCTTGCCCATTTTCACTGAATCCAAGTACACACTGCCCAGCTCAGGGATTGAACTTACAATTACTATGTCATCAAACTCACAAATGAATGTTTTAATCCACTAGTCTATTGTCTCATGTGACCTAGTAATTGTGAGTTCAATCCCTAGGCTGGGCGCATCCTGGGTATGACGATAAACTACATCCGTGTCCAGGGCAAGACGATAAACTACGTCCAACAGCAAGGCCTCTGATCAGGAGGTTTTGAGGAGCATGGAACCACCTCTTAATTGCTGGTGTTCCCAGGTCCACCCTGACCCGGGGTGGTAGCACCTGTTAGGGTCCCAGCTATGGGCAAATAGTTAACCCTGAAACTGATGTAAAAACATTATGAAAGTGTAAGAATAGGTTTTAATACCAGAAATACTTTGTAAAAAGATTATTACCAGAAATAAATTTTTGAAGAAAAAAACTATTACCTGCAATATATTTTTGAAAAAAGAAGAAAAAAAATATTACTAGCAATACATTTTTTTAAATATTACCAGCTATACAATACATTTTTGAGGAAAAAAAATTATTACCAGAAATAGATTTTTGACAAAACAAAATATTACCAGGAAGTTGTCAGCATTAAATAACCCATTGAGGTTGTTGATATGCCATAAAACAAAACAAACTAAACCTAGGCTGGACAGTGTGCACTTAGACTCAGTGGAAACAGGGTGAGCAATAACTGAGCAGTACTAAAAATATGAACTAAATGAGATATCCCTAGACATGTGATGTAGAACAAGAACAGTTGTAGATTAAATAAAGAGTTCTGTTCAGAATTCCTTGTAGGTTACCCACATCAATATACACATGATGAAAGTCAAAAGGTACATCAACTGAACCATGTTAACAATAACAATAAAGATGAGGACAATAGTATAAATGTAAATAATGTAAATAAAACACAGATCTGGTTTGTATGTTAGTCAAAAGGTAGGAAGAAGTTAGGACAAACTTGGACTTTTGTGCCCCAAAAAAAACACGGAGTATGAAAAGAACAGTTTTACCTTTATTATTTATTATTGCTACCTTTCATTCTCAGTAATGTTTATGGTTTTAAAAAGTGATGATTAGGATTGGAATAAAACCTAAACATATGAGTGAATTTATACATTTTTTTTGTTCTTGAGAATTACAAGAAAAACATTAAACACTATTTATTTATTAGATTGCTTATTTTCAAGAATAATTTTATATTTACAACATTCCAAAAACTAATACAATGCAATAGTTATCATTTATCAATTTATAAAGAAATAAATATGAAAAGAATTTTTTATTCATAAATTTATAAGCATTTACTAAATTATTAAAATATGTGAACAACTATAAGAAAATCCTTATTATTTACATTTTATAAAGTTTGAATTGATTAGCAATTAGTCAATGTTTTGATGACCATTCTAATAAATATAATGAGTAAATAGTGCTTATTATTTTTTTTTGGGGGGGGGGCACAAAGGTCGGTACCTGAATTTGCAAGTATCCACTCGGAAGTTGGTTCCTTTAGTAGGAGGGTCTTACCTATTTGTAGGGGATATATTCAGCATATTCTAAGCCCTACCAGCTGGGCATTATCAAGAATTGAGGTGGATACAAGAAATGTTATCTTTAATTTTTTTTTTTTAATGTATCATGTCATTTTGTAATGTACAGCAAGAGTGTGTTGAGGTTGGTGGGGAAACTAATTGATTGCTCTCCCAACAACTATGCAGGTTAAAGGTAGGAGGTAACAAAAATAGCACTGACTCGGAAACCACAGCAACTTGAGGAACAAAAATGCCCACAGGTACCAACTTCACAACTTGCTGATTTTCCCTCTGTTTTTATTGGCATGAGGCATCTCACAAAGACTCGGATCTTGACCAGTTTTCAGAGAGGCCCATATATAGATATGCCAAACTGTCCTGCTGCTAATGGGAAAAACCCGGATGTAACTGGTGTTGGTAAACATGTTTGCATGTGATCTAACGACACTTTTGTGTCTGTATTGATGTGTATTCACCATACATGTCATTTGTCTAGTTTCACTTTATTTGAATTCATTTTAATTATTTGTTGATTCACATTTTTTTTGTTTTGTTTTGGTTATTAAATTATTTTGCCCAGTCTTGCATTTACTTTCTTTTTCTTTAGGTACATTACTGCATCGACAACTATCCTTTCTGCCTGTGGCTATGTTCGTGAGCGTAACAATGTTATTAAAATCCTGGGCACCAATTCCAATCTGAAATCAGGCAAGAAGTGATGTTAGAGTCAAACGAAAAGAATAACACTTGCTTTCACGAAACAAATCCACTTTAGAAATGATGTCTTCACCCTTAAACATTTGACAAATGATTTTTTGATATGCTTTACATAGTCAAGAAATGTTTTTATTTATTTATTAAACAGTATATATATTAACATCTACCGGCCTGAATATTCAAGAAATCTTGTTAGAAAAATATCCGCCCTCCCATTCAAACCTGCATCCCCAAGGGGAAGCTGTCATTAGATCTATTGACAGTTTCCCCTAAAGGATGTAGGTTCGAATCCTGCCAGAGGGCGCATATTTTTCTAACAAGATTTCTTGAATATTCAGACTGGTAGATGTAAATAAATGTATATACTGTTTAATAAATAAATAAAAACAGCATCTACTCAAATATGAGTATCCATGAAAAAAAAAATATTTAAGACAAATAAATTAAAAATATGTCGGACTTAATCCATTTCCTAAAAAATAGTCAAGAAACAAAAAATCATGACTGATTCACATTTTAAAAAAGAAAATTCTTTTTGTTATTTCTCTAGAGTTAATATTTTGAATTTATTCTTTTTTTTCAATTACAAAATTTTTAATTTGCCATAAAAGAACAAGATTGATTTTTTTTTTATGGTTCAACTGAACTGCTGTGATTAGTTTTGTAATAAAAAAAATTTCTTCCAATTTATTTTCTTTATTTTTTATTCCTAAACTGAACTAAAAAATGTGTATGTGTTAGATAAAGTTCGGATCAAATATGGATTGGGATCCAACAGAATAAGATAAAGAACAAATAAGAAATGTTTATCACACTGTTAAAAAAATTGTCATAATGGATGCTACCTGCCTTACCCATAATTATAATGAATGGTGAAAAAAAAAAAAACAGGGAATTGTGGGTAGAAAAGTGGCTATATGAGTCAATGAGAAATCAGTTGGAAAAAAAGGTTTGATCAAGTATCAGGCAACTTGACAGATGCACAAACAGTGAAAGAGGATTAATGAAGCACAGTGAAATAGGAAGAATAAAGGAAAGCAAGAAGTGTATGAGAAAGGAAGAAAAACAAATTGTTTTCCCCCAAAATATACACACACTAACATGTTTCAATTTCATTAAAGCTTCGTCAGAGAATGAGATATAGAAGAAAGAAATTCTGTTATTTTTGTGTTGATTGATTTTCATTGGTTAATCTTGTTTCATGTTTATTCAACTTGTTAAATGTTAGTATAATTTGGGTCATTCCAAATTTAATGAGAAGTGACACGTCCACTTAAAGTTTCAAGAAATTAACTAATTCCAAGCCTAACTGAAAAAACGTATATATTGATTTATGTAAGTGTATAATAATTTTATTTAAGTCTGTTGTTATTAATGTGACTGTTTAATAAAATAAAAAAACAGGGGCAACAGCTCAATGTTTTCTAGTTATAAGAAATGTCAGATAAAAATCCTTTCATATATATATATATATATATATATATATATATATATATATATATATATATATATATATATATATATATATATATATATAATATGTGTGTGTGTGTAAATAAATAGAAAAATAGGAAAGAACCATTAGGTTAATAATCCAAAGGTCTATAGTATATTTGTTTTTATTTTTAAAAAGTGCTCAATACATAAGTAGGTTCCAAAATTTGCTTGAGGATTAAATAGAGCTGTTTTTTTTTTCTTTCTATTTTGAAACATGAGAACTCTTATGTAAAATGGAAGCATACTTTAAAAAAATAATTATATATATATATATATATATATATATATATATATATATATATATATATATATATAAAAAATATACCTTTATAGTTAAAGTGCTCAATATCAGGAATAGAGCATATGTAAATATAAAGATTCATTAATCAATGAGATCCTAAAATCAATCAACCACAAGTTATCTGACAATTCTCCCAGTGAAACCATCTTCAATGAAGCCAAGAAAGATTATGAGACAGCCCTAAAAAATAGTGGATTTTTGGCACCACACCTCCAAAAGCGCAAAAAAGCCAGCAGCAAAAGAAACATTATATGGTTCAACCCACCATACAACACAAACATCAAAACAAACATTGGAAAAATATTCATTAAACTCAAACACAAACACTCCCCACCCATGAAGTATTCTCCACAAAATATTCAACAAAAACACAGTAAAAATCAACTACAGTTGGACTGAGAAAATTACACAAATAGTAAAAAAAAGCACAACAGGAAAACAACCAACAAACCACCCACACAAATCAAACCCCTGCAGAGTAAAGAATGAATGTCCCTTAAATGGCAATTGTTTGTGAAATAATGTAATATATCAAGCCACTGTAAAATCAGCAGACAACAAAGAAAAAATATACATAGGATTAAGGTTCTGACTCTCCTACACATCCGTCGATATTTATGACGGACACCAGCCAGTCACACTCCAATGAGGAGGAATACAGGTGTATGCATATTCCATTATATCACTAACCTATGAAAGAAGAAAAAGAATCACTGACACTCTTACAAGAAGATTCTGGGATAACATCACCTTGTCTGCCAGGGGACTCCTCTTAACGTCTGTTATGTGGGGTTGTATTAAGCATTATAAAAGAACACAAACTCTCTATCCCCACTTTTTTTCTTTCTCAATAATCAATCACAGAATATGATAGTGACAAGACATGTTGAGTTACCCCCCCATCTTGAGAGAAAGTCAATGGGGAAACCAACTTTCTTGCCTCACCTGAATAATGTGGTGCATCACACATATTGCACTTATTAGAGTAATCACATTTCTCTCATTTTATCAGCTGTACTGTTGGGGCCCGGATTATCCTACAGGCTACTGTAGCCTATACTATCTTGGTTATAAATGCTGATAGTTTTTTACTATGGTTGTGTTGAAATATGTGCTAATTTGGTTTACAATAAATAGTGGAATTTCTTAACGAATATTTTTATTAACAAACAAAAGGTAGCTATTCTAGTTTATTTCAAGAATTTGTAATTGAAATTGCTTGAGACGAATGAAGAAAACAGTAACCAGCGAGTAAATTCAAGCTCTCCCAGCTGGTATTTCAACCTTGAGTCGTTCCTTCTTGAGTTCTGTCTCCAAATCACACTAACTGCCCGTTTTTGCCGTCAACCGTGAACGTCCCTCGAAGAACTCCCCGACTCGGAAAAAAGTAGTTGTTTTTATAGTTGTTCATATACCCATAATCCCTTGCGTCTTCACGTGATCCCATAATTCATTGCGTCGTTATTGCATAAAAATGCGATGCCAGTCCCCCCTCATTCTTTTATGTTATCTGGCCAAGGATGGATTACGGCAGAGCGGTAAGTGCTTTTTTTTCTCTCCCTCATTTCAACTGCAGTAGCTTTACATGCTAAGCAAATACGGGCTCTTTTTTGGTGGGGACAAGGCAAGTCGCGACCAGTTGTGCTCGTCCCAGGTTCTGTCTCATGTCCGCCACAGTAATAAGCTTACTTCAAGCATGTAAATGTCACTAAAATATATCACAAGTAAAAAATAAACAAAACGGATGAGGGCAAGTTAGGGGGTGGCTTCGTCTGAGGCAATGGGGATTATTTCATGAGTCTATGGGCCCCAAAAGGTCATAATCCAACCCTGTGTGTTGTTCTGTAAATATAAAACCTCTTGTATGTGCTGAATTTATTTTGAATGTTTTCAACTGAATGCCATTACAATTTACCACAGCCATTACAATAGTGTTCAAAGAAAGTTTCCAGAAAACCATTTACCCTCCTGATCCAGAAGTAAATAGTCAATAATTTTACGTTTGAAATGTAGCGGGCTGTGTGAGTTAGAATATTTTTGAATTATGAACATGTGCTGTTTATTCCTGCTAGAATAAGGTCCAACTACAAGAACATGGCAGACTCAAGTTGAGTCCAACCGAAGAGGTAAAGAAAACAAACAAGACCGATATATATATATCAACAAATATATGCATTAAACAACAAATTTACAAGTGACAAAGACATCAATATTTGTGTCTGTATGTGAACGTAAAGAGTTCGTATTTTGGTGAATGTTTATACGTATGTGTATGTGCCTGCGTGTTTCATGGCGTTTTCCCACAAGTGGGCAAAACGCAGATTTCTGTGAGAGATCACATTTTTAAATGTGTCCGCTGAAATGCAAAGTAAAAAGAGAATGAGGCAATAAATTGTCCAGTAGTGTAGGGAGAGCGACCCCTAGTGAACCATTAGGAAATTAAGGAGGAGCTAACTCCAACAGAAAGTATCTGTCTATATTACTGGGATGAAGTATTATGTACATCATTTACATTATTCGGACTATTGTCGCCATATTTATTACAACGTTTTGACCATTGTATGCTGCTGCCTTCTTCAGGTGGTTGTAATGTCAAACTGAACCCTTTATTTCACTCACTGGGGAAGACTGTTCTAGTTCCATGTTTAATGGATGTCAGTTATCAGTTATCATTGTGTGTGTGTGTGTGAATGTTTGTATTTTGGTGAATTTCGTGGTGAATGTTCGTATATTGGTAATGTTCTTTAACGTCTGACCGCAAGGTCAAAAGGATAATTCTCTGGGACTACATTTTGCAGCAAGAATAGAGAAGAAAGACAGTAAGAGGCAAACTTGTGTTTGTTTTTATAGATAACGTAATCATGTGACAGGATCACAGCACTTTGGTGGGAAACTTGACTTAGTCATGCGCTGGAAAAATATATTGTGCGCGGGTGGATTGCAACACCCACTTGTGTTTATTGACCAATTAGAAGCTGATATTTCCTGAAAAATATTTACTAAGCTAAGAAGGCTCTTGGGATCCGATTCTCCCAAAAGTGCACAAAATCTACTATACAAAAATATAGCGATTTCAAAATTGTCGTATAAGATAGAAAAGTTGATTTCTATCCAATGAATGATTGTTATTGAAATTTGAATTTGTGTAGGTATGTATGTATGTGTGCGATGATGATGATCACATTATCAACTCTTTTGTTGCTATCATGTTTTGGCCTATAGGTTACCTGGAGCAATATACACCTGAGGAAAGCAAGAGAGCCCAACAGCCAAAATGTTATAACAAAGATGAAGATAATTGTCTGAATGTAAATATAGTGTAAATATGTATAATATTGAAAAATTTAGTTAGTTTTATGTCTTTAACAGATGTTACTAACATAATATTATGTAAATGTTTTTCTAAAAAAAATATTCATAAATTATTTTACCAAGTGTGATATTTTTTTTAATAGAAAAGCCTAGAAATTTTTTCAATTTTAAAGTACAGGGTGGTCCAAAATCTTGTCACTCCTTACCAAAAAAACAAAACAACACAAAAAAAAAACAGTAATGAGAAAAATAGAACAAGTAATACAAAGCACATGCATTGGATTCAGTTTATTCACTTTCATTGACGCTATCACAACATCGAGAAGGTCTGCATAGACACCAACATTTTCGTGTAGGAACTCGTGTCAGCTATTTGAAATAGAAAATTATATTATGTAGGGGTGACAAAACTTTCGGACCACTCTGTACAGTTACTTTTTCTTGTATTTGAATAGGCACGTGTATTTACAGTGTGAATAAGATTAAACGTACGCAGTAGAAATAAAATACTCGTGAGCAATAATAATTTTTGAATATCAAAGATAATTGAAGAATGCTGAAAGGTTTATTGGATTTTTAGTGATATATTCAATGACTGGAACTCATTAACAAAAATAATGGAAAGTGATAATCTCGTCTCATGAAATCACGTTTAAATTCGCGAGATAAAAAGTCTTATTACCCAGAATTCATTATTCTAGTAAATAAGCAAAATGGCGTCGAGACGTGTTTTGTCAGATGATCTCAAAAATATTGAATTTGAAACAAGTGAAGGGGTTGAAGTAACCCCAACTTTTGATAATATGGGCTTACGTGAAGAACTTCTTCGTGGGATATATGGTTACGGTAAGGAAAGGTTCTTTATCGCTTTTGAAATGACGTATCCTTTGTGAATTGTTTTCTTACCTATTCGCATCTCAAAATAATAAAAAAAAGATACACGTGTTTGCTGTTAAGTATATTTTTGTTTAAAATGTATATGTTTAAGTTGTCTTTACTTAATGTAACTATTTTGAACTGTTCTTTTTTTTTATTTGTACAGTCAATATTGAATGAGATCGTTTGCTATTTGAAAACTAAGAAAGTGAAAGCCGGAGGAATAGTTTTATTTTTTTTTTGTCTTCTTTTTACGTACATTTAAAAAAAACTCAAGACACTAAGATTTCCACACACGTTAGAATAAAATTTGTTTAAGTTGTACAATAGGTACTGCGGCCAGAAATATTTGTTTTTTATGTTTTCAATTCTCTAAGCACTCCAGATCACGAATATCAAGATCATTTTCTAAAAGTTCATAGGGGGTCCATTTTTCTATATAAATCCATTGTAAATGAATCCCTCTACGAAAGCCAAAATATGCTCATACCATGTGATTTATTTATTAAAATGTAAAAAAAAAATAATTAAAATCATAATTTGGAGTCATTTTTATTTTATTTTTTTTATAGATTAACGGATTACTAACCACTTCAGAATTTTTAAGAAATCACGTCGTATGAGCATATTTGTTTTTAATTTTGGCTTTCGTAGGAGGATCATTTTATTTATAGCAAACTGGCCTCTTATTACAAATTTTTTTTTTTTTTTCATAAAATTTACTATGATTTGAAGTTTTTAATCTCTAAAGAATTTGAAAAAAAAATATTGGTACTGGTAGGTTGCATCTCAGACTACTCAAAGTATTTCTCTTGAATTCAAATTGGGCTCGGGAAAATATAACTCTATTTATTTTGCCTTTTCCTCTTCACAATATTTATAGCATTGTGAAAAGGATACCTGTCTGATAGCTCCCTTAAGTGGGTAGGGATCGAAAACCGAAAAACTTATACCTGAGTATTTGGATTTTCTATGATCAAATTAAAGAGGAGTAATAATGGATAGCGGCTCGGATTGAGGAATCGGAGAGCCGAGTTCGAATTCCAATCGAATACATTCACTTACGTGCTAATACCATTGGGAAAGGCATGAATCATCTTCTCTCCCCAGTTATGGGAAAATAGCAGGATAGACCAGGTTCTGTAGCCTTGGATGGTAACTGGTCTACTGCAGAAAGAAATGGCAATCTATTGCGGGGGGGAAAAAATCTGCCTCGTTAGTCATGTACCGAAAGATACATTATCGCCTATGTATCACGCATGACACATAACTGAACTGAATGATAAAATTTATAATAATGAATAAATTTATTTAATGTTAACATTTAATAGCAATTTTTCTTTTTTTAAATATTAGATATATAAAAAAAATCGACATCAAATGAATCCTTATGTGTTAAAAATGAAATACCTCATCCAAAAAACATTAAAAAATAAACTGGCCTCAGTAAACAATTTTTCTTTCATATGTCATAGCTTTTCAGGACATGGGTGAATGTGACTCTCCGCAGTTGCCTATCTTTTGTTGTTTGAAGTAAATCGTGCTTCTTTTCCTTTTTTTTTTTCTTAACCATCTTCATTTTTTGTGGTCCTTATTCTAGCATCCATTCACTCAAACTCAATAAATAGGTTACATTGTTTTCCCTTGCTTTTAATGTGCCCTGTGAGTGTTAAATTTTCCAAGACTTATTTCCTCATTGTTTGTCTCAGAAATTCTTGCTATCTCTTTCTGATTGTTTCTATTTCCCTTTAAACTTTCTCTTTATTCGTATGTTCTGTCGATTGTTTTCACAACATTCATTGGCAGAATCCCATCTGTTGCTTCAAGTCTGTTTAGCCCATGAGGTTGTCAACCATTCACTGCCACATAGTAGATTCAATATTATAAACCTTGTCCTGAAAATGTTACGGTGCTACTACAGTATGATATCTACCGAGGCATTTGCAACCTTCCCTAAATGACAATGCATTCATTATTGCTGGAAAATGCTCAAGAAAAATGATGACCTGTTTAAGGATTTTTTTAAAAAATGACATCAGTTTACAAACATTAAAATCACTATTTCATGTTTGTTTGTTTTTTTGTGTGTAAAAAGTTAATGATATTTAATACAACCAGTTCACTGCTTCTAACCCTAACATATTTCATACTTCCAACAGTTGGTAAATATCATACCATAGTAGAAAATGAACAATTGATATACTATAGTAGCACAAACATCACTCTTGTAGTTAAAATTTAATAAAACAAAATGTTAATTTTTTTTTTTTTTTTTTTAAATCTTCAAATGTAAACAAAGCAATTTTAAGATATTTAACTTAAGTTAACATTTTAAAAGAATAAAAGAAATAACAATGCAAAAAACATGCTGTAGAAAGAAATGGTGATGGGGGGGGGCAAAAAGTGCAATGCGGTGCTCGCCAGCAGGCCAGCTATTTTTTCTTCTTCGGTTGCCTCAAGGAAATGGATTGCGTGGCTCCCTTTCTCAGCTGTTACACTGGGCAGTTGTGAAACAGACACGAGCTCAGCCACACCTACTTCAACTTCCTCTTTGTCCGTCTGTCAATCCATACGTCCAACTCTATTCCACGCTGTTCACTGAATGACTTCGGTTCTGTTGTGCTGCTGGCACCCCACTTTTTATGATATTCCAATACGGCCAAAATTTGCGCGTGTGCAAATATCGCCTTGTTTTGGATGAGATAAGTAAAATTGTGTCTTCAATAGCGGCCATGTTTCTTTTTGTCATCACTTTGCAGGCAAGACACATTTGCGCTCATTTTGAATTCTGAGGTAAGTCATGTCTTTTGTCACACATGCCCATCAAGATGCGTAAAATCAAAAGAGGGAACATTCCTAATAGAAGAAAAAATACTTCGATGATGGAACAATATGTTTGAGAACACTTTCACACTAAGAGATGGGAAACCTGCAATATACAAGAATGTGAATTATTAATTACTGACCAAGATAAACAGGAAGAAAGCAGTAAGACCAGAGATAGGATTGTAACAGAACTGCTATCAGTCTTACAACACAAATTGGGCATCACCAAGATTATGGAAGTAATAAATACATTGTTTGGAGGAGCTTTTCATTATGGTATCTAGACTTTTTGAATTTAAGTGCAGTACTAGACTGGTGTCAAGATCTCATCAATTTACAGTTGAGCTGGCTACATATAACTGTAAATTCTATGTAAACAGTTTCTTTTCTTGCACTTCTCAATTGTGGAACTCCCTTCCAACTCCATGCTTTCCAGCTAACATTAATCTGCAAAAATTTAAATGCAATGTCAATCACTATCTGCTGCCCTCCTGATTACTCTTTCCTCATCCCAATCATTAATGTTTCTGTTCCTAATTCTTCACACACACAGTAATCCCCTTGTGTCTTAGTAACTTTACTGCCTTACATGGGGTGATACTGATTTAAAAAAGACAATAGCAACGTACTGGCAGACCTACCTTAGTAGATGAACCACTTTTGTAGAGCTAAGTAATAATCCAAGTGTAAATGAATGCAAGCTCCATCAAACAATGAGCCACATAAACTTATCTGAATTCTGATGAATAGTGCATGACAGAATTATGCTGGAAATACGATAAAAACAGTGTAGCTTTGTTAATGACAATAGAACAAAGAAGAGGTTTATACCCACACCACGTTGAAACACTCATTCCTGTAAGATCACCAAAGTTAAGCAACACTGAGCCTAGTCAGTACCTAGATGGGTGACTCCTTGGGAATACCAGGTGCTGTAAGCTTAGACATGCTGGTGATGTAATGGATAATGGCTCGGAATTGTTAATTGGAGAGCAGTATTTCAATTCCTGTTCAGCTCAATATATTTACTTAGCACAAATATCCTTGGGAAAGGTATGAATCCAACTCTTATCCCCCCAGCTATGGGTTAATTAGTAAGACTAAATCATCATCTCAAAAATAACTCTCCCTTCTCCCTCCAGCTATGTGTTTGTAAGAATTTTTTTTGAGATGATTTAGTGATACAAGTCTTACTATCTAAAAATATTTTCTGGCTTTAAATAACCTGCTATGGGTTGATATGCTGTAGAAGACAATAAATCAGAACAAAAATGCAATATTTATGAACAGAATGATATCAGAGAACAATGCAAATGCAGGAAAATGTATACATAATGCATCTGATAATTTATGACACAAAGATCTATTTGAACTGCTTGGAAAACTTGATTTATTTGGGTAAGACATTAGAATAATCCAGAACTTTTACTGGAGCAAAGTGTCTGCATGTGGATAGAAAATTAATTAACAGGTCACGACATGTATCGGAGAGATAAAATTTAAATTTTTATTACTGCATTATTCCAAAATTTTAACACATCAGATGATAGCTATTAATGTTAACAACTGAGCACAAGTAGTTATTAATTAAAAAAATTACTAATTAATGTATAATAGTATCTATAACGACATGTACAAGAATGTCATTTTTGATAAGTTATTAAAAAAACAAATACGTAAAAAATGGGTATATTGTTGATAATTCCTTTTTCCACAATATAGCTATTTGTGCTAGGTTATAATGAACAGTAATAATATTGAATAAGTTTTTACTTTAAACATTAAAGTATACTTAATCACCTCTCCCTAATAGCTGTCCTGATCTGTAAGCACACAAAAATAGAAACCAACATAAGAGATAAACATGCCATCTCCCTGTATTTATTTTAACCATTACAGAGAAGCAATCCTGAGGGAACTAAATATCTTACAAGGATTTATTATTGGTGGACACAGTCTTAACATAAAAATATGCAGAGGATACCATACTGATGATGGACACAGCATGAAAACTGCAGGAATGCCTAGACAATGCAGTGAAGGAAGGCAAGAAGAAAGGACTATCAGTTGCAAGAAAAACAGTACAAGATGTGCATTTTGAAAAGCAAAAGATGCCTTCCAAAAGCTAAATAAATCATTTAAAAAAAAAAAAAAAAAAATGTAAATTACATTAAAAAAAAAAAAATGCTGGACTGATAGGTAATATCAGTCATCCTCTACAACAGTGACGGATTTATGGCCACATAACATTGAAACATTGGTTTCTGTACAATAGTCTGGAGCCCTTTCTGTTTGTCTCAAGGTCCTTGATAAAATCCAGAGACGGATATGCAATGTAATTGGCTCTGATCTGGCATCTCATCTGCAGTCGCTCTCTCACAGACATGTCGTCGCCTTCCTCTGTCTATTTTACAAATACTTTCACCGTAACTGCTCCGATGAGCTGCTTTTGCTGGTTCCCAGGCTTCATGAATTTAAGCGTTCAACTTGGCTGGCATCTCGCTCTCACCCTTTCACTGTCAAAACTGTTAAATGTAGCCGTCTCTTCTACTCCAATAGCTTCATGTCTCCCACTTCTCACCTGTGGAATTCCCTCCCCTTTTCTTGTTTCCTTGATAGCTATAATCTCCAACTATTCAAATGTGTCAATCGATGTCTCGATGACTTGATCTATCCCTTATCCTTCTCTTAATCCTTTCCTCTATCACTCCAACTCTCTGTAATCCCTTGCATGCTAGTGGCTTCCCGCCTTACTTGGATGAAATGCTTAAAAAAAAAAAAATCCTCAAAGTTAAGCAACATTGAGCCTGGTCAGTACCTAGATGGATGACTGTTTGGGAATATTAGTTGCTGTAAGCTAGGATGTATGGGTGGTGTAAAGGATAATGGCTTGTAATTGTTAATCAGAGAGTAGTTCCAGTTCCTGTTGGGTTCATTGTATTCATTTACATGCAAATACCCTTAGAAAAGGTATGAATCCAACTCTTCTCCTCCCCAGCTAGTAAGACTAAATCATTATTATCTCCAAAAAGTTCTCACAATCTAAAAAATATTTCTTGGCTTTAAATAACTTGAGAAAGGGTTAAGCCATAGAAAATAAATGAATCTATGGCAGTGAATGCTGGACAATTTGCTCATAGGTGAAGGAGAGTCGTGAAGCACCAGATGTGATTCTACAGTAGGATGCTGAGAATACCATGGATGGAACGTGTAAGTTTTTTTTAAGGAAAATAAAAAGTAAAAGAACACTTATACTTAGAATCAGAAAAAGTTGAAATTTCCTTAGATATG